AAACATATTGTATACCTAAAATGTACCAATAAAAGAATTTTTTTTAAAAGTGTTTGTTGCTTTGATATCTTTTTATTACCATAATTAAGATAAAATAATTAATAATGTATTAAAATCAGCCTTTAGCTGAAAATTTACTCAACTCTTTCCATTGTGACTATACCTTACCTTACTAATATATATGCTGGAATCACATATGCTTTGTAACAGGTGCTCCATAAGTGATAATTTTTTTATTATTACAAAATTACTTGTGAGACATTTATGAACAATACCTAATTTTAGGCAATGTGCTAAAGGGAATAAGACAAAGGCCTTTCTTCAGTATAGTTTTCTTGCTTAGTGGAAGCAACAAAGAAGTGAACAGATAATTGCCATAGTCAGATGTGTGTTATACAAGAGGATGGGTCAGGGTCTTGAGAATGTTTCTTTTTCTGGTGATCACATTGCTAAAATGTCTCTGTAGCAGCTCCCTGATTAACTTAATTCCTTTATGATAATTTTCTCTAATTCAAAATGGGTGTATTCTCACATAAATCATTCTATTGCTCCCTGTATTTGCAAACACTCTCATGAGCCTAGTGAAAACCATATGTCTTTGTGTTCCTTGTGAGGATACAGCAGTCCTCTCTGGCTGCAGCCTCTCTCTCACTGTGAGGCTTCATCTAAAGTAAAAGTACCATTTCCCTTACAGACCCAGGCACATTTTCATTTTAACATGTAACAAATTATGAAAAATAAATACATTAAGAGCATATTCATTTAACCATGGGTGTACATATATTGCTGTGGTATGATTCTTTTAATGGGGAATAGCTGGGTCAAATGGAACCTCTAATCCTAGTTCTTTGAAGTATCTCTATACTGAATTCCACAGTGGTTGCACCAGTCTACACTCCCACCAACAGTGGAGAAGGGTTCCTTTCTCCCCACAGCCCCACCAGTATTTGTTATTGGTTGATTTTATGATAGACGTTCTTTCTGGGATGAAATGGAATGTTAATGTTTTAATTTGCATTTCTTGAATGGTCAGGAGTGTTGAACCTTTTTTCACGTATTTATTGGCCATTTGTATTCTTTTTCTTTTTTCTGGTATCAGAGATCGAACTCGGGACCTTGCCTTTGCAAGGCAGGTGCTGGAACCACTGAGCTAAATCCCTGGTCTCTGGCCATTTGTATTTCTTCATCTGAGAAGTGTCTGTTCATTTCAGATGCCCATTTTTGGATTGGGTCTTTAAATTTGAGGGGGGGGTCTCATTTTTTTTTGAATTTATAATATATGCTAGATATTAGTCCTTTGTCTGAAGAGTAGCTGACAAAAATTTTTTCCCATTCTGTTTGTTGTCTCTCTACTCTGTTAGTGGTTTCTTTTGCTGGGTAGAATTTCCTTCTTTTAAAAAGCTGAATAGTATTTTATTGTGTACGTATGTTTGTATGTACTATGTTTTATCCGTTCATCTACTGGTGGGCACTAAGGTTGTTTTCATATCTTGGCTGCTGTGAATAGTGCTGTAGGGAACATAGAGGTAGCTATATCTCTTCAAAAGATTGATTTCAATTCTTTAGATATATACCCAGAAATGGGATTGCTAGATCGTATGGTAGTTCTAATTTTAATTTTTGAAGAAACTCCATACTGTTTTCTATAATGGCTCTACTAATTTACATTTTGACCAACAGTGTACCAGGGCTCCTTTTTCTTTACATACTTGGTAACACTTACCTTTCATCTTTTTGATAACAGCCATTTTAACAGATGTGATAATGGCTTTGATTTGCATTTCCTTGATGATTATTGATGTTGAGCATTTTTTCATATACTTACTGGCCATTTGTGTGTCTTCTTTTGAGAAACATCTATTCCAGTCCTTGCCCATTTAAAAATATTGGGTCGTTTGTTCTCCAGCTATTGATTTGTACAAATCCTGATATATTTTAGATATTAGTTTCTTCTCAGATACATGGTTTGTGGATATTTTCTCCTGAGGTGTACAGTTTTAAAAGTAGTTTCTCTGCTAGGAGTTTTGCCTTCAGGTACTGCTGCTGCCTTTACCATGAGGGTGGGAGGAGAGAAAGAAGGGGTAAGGGAGGAATTAAAAAAAAGAAGAGTGAAAGAAAAAAAGAGAGCACTGAGCTGAGGGAGCTTTCTTTTTTGTTGTTTCTTGTTTGTTTGTTTGTTTTTTGGTACAGGGGATCAAACTCTAGACCTTGCGCTTGCAAGGCAGGTGGCAGAACCACTGAGCTAAATCCCCAGCCCTGAGGGAGCTTTCTATACTAAGTCTAGAGTGGTTTTCTTTTTTTCTTTTCTTTTTTCCTTTTTAGAGTGGTTTTCTGATTGGAAGAATCTTTACTTCATGGATGCGTCCCTGTGCAAAAGAGTATCTAACATTTTCATCTCCTCTGGGAGAAAACTGTCTCCCCACCACCACCACCACCAAAACTCAGTCTCAAAGTTCCCAAAAAAGGAGTTCATGTTGGGAAGCCAAGATGAACGTCAGATGCCTGCTTTTAGGTTAAATATGCAGTGTCCCAGTCAGGTCTTGGCACTGGCTGTTTTGTCTGTGTTCTGAAACGAGCTCAAGGAAGTGGGGAGCAGCCTGTTCAGTCACTAGAGGCACCAGTTGCTTTTCTGCAAAAGTGATTTCAAGTGAAAATTGACATCTCATAGAGAGTTTTCTTGTCCTCAGTAAAATTTTCAATATTCTTACCATTGGGATTTGGCATCTTTGGCACAGTTAAAACATTTTCATCTTCCTTCCCTTCTCCCTCCCTTCCTTCCTTCCACCCCCCAGACCAATTTTCTTTAGCTTCCTGGGATTTAAAAATAACTATCTTGTGGTACAGCAGGCTTTTTACTCCTAGGCCATTAAAGATAGGTGATACTAACCCCCATCCCCATGACTTAGACATCTTGTCTTCAGCTGGATTTCCTTAGTATGTAGATTATTGTGCCCAGAAATTTCTCCAGATAAAATCCAGAATTGCCGTGTCCAAATCATCCTTCTTCATAGGAATAGTAAGAAGTTAAACCCATGTTTGTTGAATGTGTTGAGCACTCTGTAGATAATGTTGACCACAGGTTACAACACGTGATTTGTTTCCTGCTACTTTGTTAAGAGTTTAACCTCATTGAGGAACATCATACACATCAGATTAGTTTCATTTTTGCTTCACCTCTTGAATTACAACATTGAGTCACAGTTCTCTGAGGTACATGTCACCTTTTGTTGATGCTGTATCTAAGAGGCCATAGCAAGGTTTTAGTGGTGCTAAAAGAAAAATGGACAAGGAGTTATAGAAGAAATCACCCTAGAAAGGAAAATCTGTCATACTAGAGCTTGTTTTTGTCCCTCGTTCCTCCTGGTCTCATGTTTAGCACCAGGCTAAAGCATTGGTGTGCTTACTCTCAAGAGCAGTAAATGTTAACTTTTCCCTTGTCCTTCACAGACGATTTAAGCCAGAAATTAAAACCCTTGGGTAAGGCTGAACGAGAATTTATTTTGAATTTGAAGAAAAAAGAATGTGAAGAGAGAGGTTTTGAATATGATGGGAAAATCAATGCCTGGGACCTACACTACTATATGACTCAGACGGAAGAACTCAAGTACTGCATAAACCAAGAGTTCCTCAAAGAATACTTCCCCATTGAGGTAGTCACTGAAGGCTTGCTGAATATCTACCAGGAATTGTTGGGACTGTCATTTGAGCAAGTGACAAATCCTCATCTTTGGCATCAAAGTGTTACACTTTACACTGTGAAAGATAAAGCTACTGGAGACATATTGGGACAGTTCTACTTGGACCTCTATCCAAGGTACTGATGATCATATGTTTGGAAGGGACCTTGGAGATTAAGACAGTACTCAGCTTCCTATTTCCCATGTGTAGTTCTTTGTAAGGAATTTAAAATATGGGCTCTGAAGTGAGAATTCTGATTTCATCACTCACTGAGCAAGTTACTTAATTTTTCTGTGCTTCAGTGACCTTACCTATATTATATAGATCCTATGAAATGAGAATACTAGTAGCACCTGTTTTGTAGGGTTATTGTCAAAATTAAATTGATTAATTACATGCAAAGCATTTAGAAGACTCCCAAGCACACAGCAAGTACTTCGGAGTAAATGTTAGTTATGACACCATCATCACTATCATCATTGACTGTATTTACTTAATAGAAAATTGTTTTCTTAAATGTTTATTGTTCAGATAATCCATCTACCAGACCACTTCAGTCTATGACTATTCCTCTCCGTCTGACTGGGAGGCAGCACAATTCCTTCACGGGGTTGTTTGTGCATGAAAGACCATATATCCAAATCACCAACCCTAGGCCTGTAATACTAGCATGCTGAGGCAGGTGTTGCTGCAAGTTCAAGGCCAGCCTGGGTTACATAGTGAGTTCAAGGCCAACCTGAACTACATAACAAGACCCTGTCTCAAAAAAAAATTTTACCCATCCTAGCTGTCAATCAATGATAAGAATTCAAAATATAACCATTGTTTCTATAACTTGTGTTAACTATGGACTCCACAGTGTTTTATCAGACACCAAAGGATTTGAATGTCTTTCTCCCTAGGTTGCTTTCTAAAACAAAGCCAACTTGATATAATCCTTTTTTCTTAAACAGATCAAATGAAATTATAGTATCACCCTTGTTCGGTAATGTACAGTATAAGTATGTAACCCACTGAGTGTGTGATGGGAAAGAGGCTATATAATTGTGTCATTCAGTGTCCCAAGGTTTTTGGATTTCCACATACAATATGACCTAAAATGTCAAATGTAGATGGGTCTATTTTTAATTGAAAAGTGTCAGGATACAGTTTTAAGCCAACAATTCTTTCAGAAGTAATCCTTCAACATTGGAGTTTCCTGAAAACTGTTCCCAAACTCTCTTTCCAGAGTCAAAGTAATAGTTATTACTACCTTATTTTGATGTCTCTCTGCCAAGATACACTTGGTTTCTTTTGTAGTCAGAGATACGGTTATTGCTCCCAGGATTTTGATACAGGGACCAGAGAGTAATCTTTTGAAAGGGTTATGAGCTAGTTAGTGTTCATTTCCCGTCACCTTACATTTTGTCTTCATAAAGATGGCAAACATTAATTTGTTTTACTTGTCTAGTTGAAAAAAAACAATATTCAGAGTGGGTTTTCAAAAACAGCTTATTCTTTTATAATCATATTTCAGTTTTTATTCAACAACTGAGATTTTCTTTTTTTTTTTAAGATCCATGCAGCACATGACTGCATCCTTGTATATGTCTTTTTTTTAAATTATTTTATTGGTACATTTTAGGTATACAATATGTTTATATTTATCACTGGGTACTTGTACCTGTACGTGATGAATCTTGGTTCTTATTTTTTTCCCCATTACCTGTGTGCCCTTAACCCCCTCTGCCCTTCCCTATCTACATAGATTTTGTTTCCATTTTTTTCTCTTTTCTCAGAATTTTTCCTTTCCCTTCTCCCCCCCGCCCATTAAGTTTATTAGTACATTTTAGGTATAAAATACAGTTACATTCATCATTGGGATCTTGTACC